TTGATTATGAATATTGTGGTTAAATTTCCATCACCTTGAACTTGAACCAATGTAAAAATTTGCAATATTTATGGAATTTATGTGAGATCTGTGTTGAAGTTTGGAAATGCAAGTGATAGGAAGTCTATGTGTGTGTCCTAAATTCCCAGTCACATGTCCTCATCTGTAAAAAACACTGTTGCACCTCAGAGTGTGTCCCCCTCCAAATTCTGGAAATTTCCTTTATCTGTGAATCCAGTACATGTTACATTTTTAAAGATCAGAGAAGAGAAATGTCACTTATGTTCCACAAAATGTGTAACTTGCATTGGTTATTCAAAGATCTGAGAATACAGGAAGATTTCAACCTGTACACTTCTTATTTTTCAGCTTCTAATTGGCATCCTGCAGAAATTATCTTCAGGACTAGAGTGTTGTACAAGAGAAATCATCCGCGATATTAGCGTATCATTAATATATATAATTGCTTCTTGTAGTCTACCACTTGATGGCCAGATGATGTGTTCAACAGCCTTCTGTTCAGCTCTTCATGCTGTGTCAAGCATGCATGAAATGGAAAATTTATATTTGTCATATCTGAATACAGAAGGGGACATTTTTTTTGGTTTTGGCTTGAACCTACAAATTTTTATACAAAATGTAGAAGTCTTGAAAGTTTGTCTCTGTTACGGTATATTGAAGAGCAATGAAGCAGCAAGTGTTTTATATGACATGTCTTTAGAGGACAGTCCACTAATTTATGCAATGTTGAACATTCTGGAAAATGGCTGTATGAAGTACTCAAGACTGACAAGCATAGCATTCAAAGTGTTGGTGTTGTGGGTGAAAAAAGTGTGTTCAGAGCTCGAGTTCAATATGACAAGTGATATTTTGAGGAGGATCTTTTCAGTCATTAATAGCAACTGGGAGAGTCCCATCAGTGGTGTTAAGGAACAGAATACCAAAATATTTGAACTCTTCTTAGATGTGTCTTCAAGAAACAGAATAGATTTGCATGATCAAGATACATTACAGTCTGTAACATCTCTGATGCATCATACAATGGAAGAACAGCCATGGAAAATGAAGAGCAAATACTATATGTTGAGTGTGTTACTGCCAAGATACGGCGTAAGAAAGGTAGTGATCTGAAATTATACTTTTAGAAAGTTATTATTTCGATATCATGGGAAGCAAAGCTTTTTGTAGCATTCAACAGGAATCTGCATGCAGACAATGTTTGTCTTTTTACCAGGTCACTTAAATTTGCTACATCCTTTCTTAAACTAATATAAGTATTTTAAAAATGGCAGTGAATATTTAGTTTCAAGGCATTCTACTGCGTTAATTGCAGGAAGTGATTAAGAAATGAAAGTAAAATAGAACATAATATTCAGATGCATTGTGGGAGTACCTGTTAAGTATATTCATTGGTCTATCTATTTATCCTAATGTCTCTACAGATTGTGAAGTTCTGCTGTTGAATCATGCAGTATAGACATGTCATTCCCACTCCTACAAAGGGTATATTTTGTGCGTTCTTATTAACTCCGTAACTGGCTTACACTTTGGATTCCTTTAATGTTCCTGCCATTGTGAAATGATTATTTTAGGATTCTGTGCTTGCTAGGAATTCTTTCAGTTATGGTAATATTAAAATATAGAACATCAGCAAACCAATATAAATATTCTGATTTAGAATAAAGAATGAGATACATGAGACATGTAAGATGTTTGGAAGTGAGGTAATTTGGTTGATCTGTACATCGGTGAGACATTAGATGTGAAGGAATAGATCTGATTTCAAGTGTGTTCAAGATAGGATTCAGTGTTGGGGTTTTGTGTGTTTTTGCCTTCCATAATAGCAGGGAATTTCTTAACCATCTGAATAACTGGCAGCTGCAATATGAAGTTATTTGGTTCGTGAATGTAAAGCTGCTCATGTGCTTAATTAAACAGTACACTTTGAAGATGTATAAGGGAGTGGTTGTATAGCTCCATGCATTCTCTTTCTTAGGGCAAATTGAAGGTTTAGAAAAGTCATTTAGCAAAGAAAATGTGTTTTTAATATGTTCTTAAATTCTCTTTGTTAAACCATTTCTCATTTCATTATAGGCATTTTCAGATTTTCCCGATCTTGCTCCAGGTCTTGTTTCGAGCCTGTCTCAGAGCCACTTGGTATCAGCTGGCAGTGATGTTTATAAGTGCTGTCTCAATAACATGAATTCAGATGAATGGATTATTGTCTTCATGACTTTAATTACTGAAATACTGACTGACAGAGATGTCATTAGGTGGGTGGCTGCAAATTGAAAACCTTTATAAACATGCATGTTACAACTCTAAATTTGTGAGTCAAGATCTGAATCTTTATTCAGGAAGATACGTTTTATCTTTATGTCCTTCCACAGAACTTTATCGAATTAATAAAGTAATATGCGAAAAGAAAGTCCAGTTAGGCTTCATCATTGTCTTCCACCAGGATCCTATTGGACCTTACTTAATTTTTTCATTTGTATTCTGCCATTGTAATTAAATTCTTTTTAAGGTATTTCATTTTCTGGAATTGTTATTTCAGGCCAAGATCTGGTTTATGATTAAGTAAAAATGAAAATTGATCTGTCAACTCTGAAGTCTTCCTGTTTCTCCTTTTCTTCTTGGATCATGTTTCATTTTAAGAATCCTGCTTTCTTGTTGAGTCTTAAGTGGATGAACCAGTGTTTGCTCAATTATGTGGTCTCATGCATCCAAACAGTAATTTGAGTTTGGTATACAATGAAAATTTAAGTCAGTCTGGCATTTTAGAAAGGTGAGTTTTGAGTTATGCATGTCCTTGAAACAATGTTTAAATAACCAGGACAACCTGAATAAAGTCAGACTTTGGTCTCTTACTGGTTCTATGAGTCAGGCCCAGTACACAAGGGTCTGACTCTTTTAGTATATAAGGGATTATACTTATTCTTCCTTGGTGCTACAGCCATGGGTGGGCTTTGGCCTCCCTAGGGTTTCATAATAATTGTTTTTGGGGGTGGGGTTGTTAGCCCCATGCCCAATCCCCAACCTGGAAGACAAGGGTGTCACTCTTAGTCTGGTGCATCACCTTAGACCTCTCCGGTTTGGGTGACCCTACCAGGAGCCGAAGCTCCCGCCAGCGTAGCCCTAAGGGTCATTTGAGCGCAGAAGCCTTAAGCGGCAAAATTTATTTGCCTTCCATAAGGTGGTGAGACCTTTGGGAGGATAAAGGATTATACATTAAGATAAATTATGTCACAAAAATGAGCAACTAACAAGAATTACCATTTTATTAGCATCATATTTTAATTTTAGTGTCCATTATATTACTAATCCAGCAATGGGCATAAGGTTGGCAATAGGCCTAATATGTGATCGATTGAAATTGTTTACATTATGTGATATTACTATCATGTATTTCTTTACAGCATTAAAAAGCAGAATGTGTTCAACTACTGGTTACCAAGCACATTGAAGAGATTTCCTCTGCTTCTGAACTTACTATTGGATCAATTAGTTGACATCTTACAATCATCTGGTTTGGAAAATATCATTTTTTCTGTCATTAGTTTATTGAAACTTGGACAAAAAAGTGGCTTGTTTTTTAACACCTGGGATGAAAATTTTTCAATCAGTTCTTTTAAATTTTTGGACCTTCTGAATTTTATGAATTCTGCCACTCAAAATTCCAGTGAGACAGTCAGAGCTGAGGCATTTGCAGTGGTCTGCATATCTTCTAAAACTTGTATTATACCTTCACTCAAAGAGTTTGAGTTGTTAAAGACATTCTTGCTGGAAAATGCAAACATTGACAGTGCTTCTCTACGACAGGCAATTTTGAATTCATTTACTTTGTTTCTTGCACGAATATGTGACTCTAGTCTTCGTGAATTAAAAGTGGAAGAGAGAACACAAAAACCCAAGCAGCGTGCTAAGGATAAGAAATATGTGTTTCTAAATTCAGAAGAAAGTAAAGACATTGACGGAACTCAAATTTCACAAAACATACAATTCTTGAATTGGCTGCATAATTTCCTCATATCTAATCTTGAACCAGGAACTAATTACCAGAGGAAAATTCTTTCTCTGCAGCTTTATATGCTGGTGTTATCTTATTTTAGTGAACCAGCACAAAGGACAAAGGGAAGCTGTGTACTGAAAAGGAAAGGGGTGGCATTAGAAGCTGAGGCAGTGATGAAGTATGCCCTGCAACTTGGAAAATGGCATTTTAATTCTGAAAGAAGTCATAAAACCTTATTGAGTTGTGTTGTGGACCCCACTGCTGACATCAGGGAAACTGCAGCCTTAATTCTAATGACATATTTCAGTTTCAATGAATCAAATACTGAAGAGAATAAACTTCTGCTAGATTATGCATTGAGGCTTTGTAACAGCCCAGTATTTTATGAAAGAGAAAGTGGGGCTTTGCTTATGAAAGTTCTTTGTAAGTGGACATATAAAATGCCACCAAAGAAATCTGATGAATTGGTTTTTAGTATGGTGAACAATAAATATAACAAAAGTTTGACCAGAAATAGAAGCCGTAGTAGCAGCTTAATGCTGTATAATCAACAAAAATTGTTGGCTGGTCTTTATAACAAGCCTAATAGATCTGTCCATAGTAAAGTAGAAATAAAAAAGAAAGTGCATTGTATACTATTGAAAGATGTTTGTGGTGTTGAGGTATCTGACAAAAATATGGCAGTAGTGTCAAGAGATGGATTAGTTGATAAGTCTACCACTTCTGGTATTGATAAATCACAGCCTGACTCATCTATTAGCAGGAGAAATAATTTTCCTTTAGAGGTCCTTGACAAAGTTCGGCGCTCATCTGCATCAGAAGTGACCAGCCACCAGTCCAGTGATCTCACACAAAATATACTTGAGGGACAGGTTGAGCAAGATAGCTGGAATAGGCAAACAGCAAAAGAAGAAGAAGAAGCAGATTATCAGATTTCCGCGAGATTATTCATGTTGACTGGAAGAACAAGATTTTCAGGAAATCCCTATAAGAATAAACAGGTTGAAGTGGCATTGTCTTTAAATTTACATAAATTTGAGGGCTTGCCTGTAAAGCATGGTACAAAAGATGAAAAACATAACAATCCATCAATGAATAAGTTAAGAGACTTTAAAAATTTGTCTGTTTGGAATGCACACAGTTCTGCATCATCTTTGCCTGGATATCAAACCCCAAAATTCCAACAGCCACACTGTTTTAAATCATCTGTAATTAATGATACAGATTTTCCTCTCTTGCATGCAGGATCAGGTGGTAGACAGCATGATATTAGGATTGTCTCTCATCAGGAAAGCTTAGAAGTTGATGTTCCTCAATTTAGATTTGAGTGCCATTCTATTTCCAAAGGATTTTACACATACAAAGAACAAAATGTGAAACCAGATGATTGGGTGTTATTCCCTTATGAAGACTGGGGTTTAAGTGAATCTCCAGAAGGAAAAAATGTTCAAAAGTTTGAAACTAACAGTGGCACCTGTAGGTATGAAGATCCTTCCAAGAATACCCAAGCAGTATTGAGTTCTGAAAATGTCATACAGACTTATGGATCGGCACCGTTGTCAGTTTTTCTTCTAACACAGGCAGATGCACAACTTACTTCACTGAAAGGAGACATCTTTCAGGCAGCCTCCTCTGGTTCTCCACTTCATGGTACCATCACTGCTTTAATTCACCTTGCTACACAGTCAGATGGACCAGAATGTGGATGCATGTCTGTAGAGGAAGTGAACAGAACAGTCACTTTGTTGGAACAAACAGTCTCCTTCTTTCTAGACTTCCTGGCAGCAAAATCAGCCAGTACTGCAGGTAACCATTCCTTCTACAATTCTTCTTCTCTCATAAGATCTGTTTTTTGAGATTTTTCCATTTGTTTATTACGTCACCATGTATTCTACATGTCTCTCATTACAACCTTCTTTATTTCAGTTCTTTGTTATGTAATTTAAACAAGAATTTGTTTCAAATTAATTGTAAGACAATATTTAAATGCTGAATGCATATCATATATGTACTGAATCACACTAACTTTTATTATATTTATTTTAAACTTAAATTATCAACATCTGTTACTGATTAAATATGTAATTATGTGTGTTCTTCAACAGTAGGAAGAAATGGAAACAAAGAGCAACAGCATTCCCATTATGAGCAGATAGAAATTTGTTCTCACATAACTATTGACACTATATAGAGTCACAACTTATTTTCCACGTATTTTATTAAAAGCTGTTTCAAATGAAAGTTGTGTATGTTAAGGAGGTATATATTATGTAAGACTTGAGGTTCTCACAGCGGTGAGTATGAAGATATCCGTCTTCTGGGTTATTGCACTGTGTAGTCTGGTCGATGTTAACCAACGTTTCAGAGGTCATACTGCCTCCATCATCAGAGTATGAAGATTTCTGTCTTCTGGGTTGTTGCGCTGTGTAGTCTGGTCGATGTTAACCAACGTTTCAGAGGTCATACTGCCTCCGTCATCAGAGTATGAAGATTTCTGTCTTCTGGGTTGTTGCGCTGTGTAGTCTGGTCGGTATATATTATTTGATGTTATATACAATGTGCAGTATATGATGAGCTACTTTGAGAAGATTGCTTACTGCAGCAAATATTAAATTTCATTAAAATCTGATGAACAAACAGACAAGATTTCCCTGTTATTCTTTCAGTTTTCACAAAGAACTCATATAAAGAGGCTGTAATTCTTCATGACATACATTATTGTTATTGTTTGACATACGAATATTAATGCAGGTGTTGCACCTTCATTTGCTGAGATGGATGAGGCTATACAAAGCAGTATACAGGAGTCGCTGTCAGATTTGGCATCAGTAGATGAAGAAGGAATGCAGCTATCTCCAGCTCACCAATTGGTTTTCAGTTGTATCTGGCTGAATTTGAAAGTAAGATTTGTGTTCATAACTTTCACATCACATTTGTTCTCAAATCGTAATACAGTGAATCTTAAAAAATATAATTTTTAAAATTCTCGTACAGGAAGACGAAAAATTAATCTTTGTGTCTATGATGCTGTTTACCAAGATGATTGTTTTGATGTGGGCTATCCAGAAATATGAAATTGAAAGTTTTGTAACACCTAATGGCTGAAATGCAGATTGTTCCTTTTAATTCAATGTTTCCTTACATCATATTTGCTCTTAGGTAACTAGTATATGTGCACTTTAAAATGGAAAACATTAATTTGCATATGGTGTTGTTTCATTTTAGGCTTGCTGTACTCTAGCAAGTGGCCTAGTCTGTAGTGCAAATTGCAGTATAGCAACAGTAAAGCGCTGTGGAAGACTAATTACTCAGGTTCTCACTCGGTGCCGGCATAAAGGAGCCATAGAGTCTGCTGGAGTTGCCTTGTCCACATTTGTGAAGACTGTCACATCTCAGACTGCAGATTGTAATCCAACTTGTGATAAAGATGTGCAGTTGATGTTGGGACAAATACTGGCTGAATTTTTGGGCTCTGTGGCATGTGGGGGCCTTAAAGCATCAGTCACCAGACGTTCTGCTGGATTGTCAATTCTTATTCATAAAATTGTGGCAAGTGATATGCAGACTGGCAAGGTAAGGTATTTATGCAAATGTGTTAATGTTTTGTCACTGTTGTTCAGTTCTCTGGCTTCTGTTTTCTGATGGGGTTTCTCCAGGCAGTCTGCATATTCTTATGAATGGATATCATTGGTTATACAATTTTTCTATCCCTCAGCAACTTCTTGAATTAGGCTTCTGTACATTGGCAAGTTGATAAATTCTACAGTCAAATGATTAATAAATAAACAGGTTAATATTTACATTTATATTAAAATAAAAATATCTTGGGATTATTAAAAGGATCTGTGTAAACATTATATTTATAACAAGACACTAAGTCTCAGTTTTGTGTCACTCTGACTTGACTGATAATAACATGATATTTTCATTTCAGCCACTTCTTCACATGTGTGTATCGCAACTTCTGGAAATAGCCAGAGCTCCCTTGGGCAGTAGGATTAGTTCTGAACCAGAATCAGTGTTAGTAGACCTCCCACAAGCACAGGCACTGCACTTCTTGAGAATACTGGTACAAGATTCATCATTGAGACAAGACATGGCTCAGTATATGAGTTCAGTAACAATAATATGCTTCAGCAACTTCTCGTCCTCGGTGTGGACAGTCAGGTAATGTAACCTTATTTTATACCACTTCATGTGCTGGAATGCACATGAAGTAGTATAAAATTTGCCTGACCTAGAAATATCTCTTGTATTAATTAAAGAATGGTTTGGATCATAGAGTTTTTGGACCTTGTTCATCATTTGATGTTATAAAAATACACAACATTTTGAGGACAGACCCAGTTCTCAAAATGTTACATGTTATTAAAACATTAGATGATGGACACGGAAAAAGAAAACCCAACATTGCAGATTGTATAACACCCCCGTCAGAGTCCTTCAGAATTGATAAAGAATGGTTGTTGATCATTCTTTTAAGTATGATGAATTAACTCATTTGGTGCAGGATAAATCTGTTCTGTAATTAGAGCTGTTGTTCTTCCAGGAAGTGAAGTTGAATTACTGGGTACCCAATGTTGTTAAAGTTCACCCCATACTTTTTTGGTGAAGGTGTGTTATTAAACTGACATATTTTTGGGCATTTTCCTTTGTACAGTTTTTTGTTAACAAAACCTTTTGGAAGCAGTTTCTGCTTCTGCCATCAGATAAATGTATAAGACTTAATCTGTTGGGTCCATTAGATCGGGATAATCTGTATCCCTGGATAACATTTTGTAAGCACATTTATTACTTTACTTCGTGATCTATGTCATTTGAGAGGACAGTGCTCGTAGAAAACTGAGAGCTTGTCCAGTCCAAGACCCTGAACTGGGAGTGGGAATAAATGTTTAATATTGATTATCATATAATTACTACTGCAGTAATTTGTTTTCTTTCTTCTGTTTACAGAAATGCAGCATTACAGTTATCTGGTGCACTTATTCCAAAACTTGTAGGACAGAAGAAAATTCAGGATGAGGAACTGACCTTAGGAAGTGGTGTCAGTGTTGAAGAGTTTTTTAGCCACTTTCCGGAACTGACTGACTTTATGTTAGTCTCCCTACAGCAAGCTGCAAATTGCTGTCCATCTCAAACTTTGAAACAACATGCAGATCTAATTCCTATGCTGTCTCTGCTAGCAAAAGTTACTGTAGGCATTGAAATATTTATCAGTGTGCCATTGGTTGAAATGATTGCCCAGTATCGTGTTTGTTTTCTGCAACTGATTTCCAGTCCTATTTATCATGTTCGCAAATTGGCAGCAAAAGCATATGAAAGGTTTGTGCCATTTTCCAGCACCTGTCAAACCATTGTGGCTATTGCAGATAAATTACAGGTTCACAAAGATTGTGATGGAACACATTCCAGTTATTTTGTTGTTGGAGAAAATGTTCTTAATGGAATTTTATTGACACTAAAATATCTTCTGGAGAAGTTAAATCACGACAGTCAAAATACATCGGAATTTGAGTCCAAGATGCTTGAAGTGATTAAAAAATTGAAAGATGCTCTCAAAAATTACATGAACTTGGATTCCTGCTCATTTTTCAACAGGTTCTTACTTCTTGAGTTAATTGAAGATAAAATTAATACTGTAGGGACAGCATACATTTCAGCTAATGAAGCATATGAAAGGATGTTAGATGTACACAAGACATTGCAGAATGATAACATTAAGAATTCATTAAAACCTGGGCTCTCTCTTTGGGCTGCCAAAGTCATAGAAGTGGTTGTGAGGAAATGTTGCCCATATCATCTTGTTTCCACATGGTACAATTCATATATGCTGTTCAGTCAGTGCCCAGATATTGTAACATCATCTTTTATGAGTCTAAAATGGAGGCTTCTTCATGATGAAAAAATCAGTGTTGCTACAAAAGCTTCATTATTTATTGCTATTTTGAAAGTTTGCTTAGAAGTTGCCAAGGACTGTCATGCTTTATTTCCATTGCTTGATGTAATGCTTGTGTTAATACAAGATACGAAGGTTCATGTTGTTATAACTTTCGAAGAGTTGCATAAGATCTATATGTGGTCTTTGAGTGACAGCAGAAACAAATCTGAATATAGTAAGATAGCCCTTCCAGTGGTTGCTGGGCTTCTTTCACAGTACTTTGGCCATGGAAATTGCATTGGATTATCAACTGAAACTTTAGAATTTGTACTGAAATTTGCACTCTGTATCAAAGACAGAAGTGATGTAATGAAGTTTGAAGAAGATTTTAGGTTTAGTGCTGCAAGGGCCATGAATCTTTTAGTTCCATCACTTCGGGAAATTTTTGCACAAAGTTCCAGAGAATTCTCTACAGAAGAAGTGTGTAAAGAGATTATTGAAATCCTTTTGGATGTTGTGCTTACCTTGCTTCAAGATGAAGATCATGTTGTACGAAAAGAAGCAGCAAAATTTATTCCTGCATATTCCACTGAAATGAATAAAAAGTCAACATCCTTGAAGATGAATCCATATTCTAGTCTCATGAAACTAGTGGAACCAAATATACTCCTTACATTGTTAACAGTTCCACAAGCAATGGACTTTCTGTGGAAGAAGCTGCTTTATACATATGATGTTCACAGCATTGAAATAAAACATTACCACTACTATCATGAAAACTGTAGCATTAATAGCCCTTTTGACCATGGGAAAAACAACATCTACAGTGAAGAAACAAAGATGATAGATCTGTTTGGGAAGAGCCTCCTGGAAATAATTAAGGTTGCAAACAGAAGAGAGAGAGATGGATTGACAAAATTGATCAAATCCAGATATGTAAAGTTTAAAGATGATGTAGGAACAGTATTATCTCTGTTGAAAAGAATAGAATCTTGTAAGTTGACTCACATTTGTTGTTAATTAATAGAAATAGATACAAGGTATTGTACAAAGAAGCATTATTATTATTATAGCTCAGAATACATGCAGCAAAATTGAAGAATGGTTTTGGATTTACAGTTTTCATAAAATTAATAATACTTTAAAAAGTTGTAATTTTATAACCATGTAATTTGTGATGACATTTTCAAAATTCATTGTTAAAATTTTGAAGATAGTGTTTCCCATTGTACCTGTCAGCTCCTACATTGTTTCTGATATGCTGGAAGGGGAAGTTACACTCATAATTTTATCATTACAGTTCTCTGATTTTGAAAGTCCCAGTTTTCACTCAGTTTCTGCCCAGCTGTTGACTCCCCCTCTGTAACTTTCTGTGGATTGCCCCGCAAAAAAAGAAGCATTGTTGTTTTTAAACATTGTTTTCTAGCCTTAAGTTGATGCTGAATCAGTAATTATATGTAGTAGTAGACCTACAGTATGACAACAATATACATTATTTGTTCCAGCTGTAGAATTTTAACTTTTTCAATTGAGAGGTTTTGTTGTTTCTTTACCCACAGTATATATAAAATGCTGAAACCAAATTTCTGTTTTAGATTTTAAGTATGAATTCTCAATATCTTTTGTTAAAAGATATTAATGTTTTAGGAGAATAAATTACAGTCAAGAGTGCTATTCCTTTTTCATGAAGGTTGTTCTGACTATGATTGTCATTATACGTGTATGCATAACATTTTTACAAGGTAAGAGGGTGTATAAACCATACTATTTTTCTTTCTTTCAGGTGGTATTGTTTATGCTTCGTCAGAGAATGAATCTTGTTATATTGTTGCGAAGAAACTCCTGTATCAATCAGAAGTGATGGCTGCTCTAAAAATTATGGGAAACTGTGAAATGGAAATAATGGTAGAACTACAGAAATTCTTTAAGTTTTTCACAAATTAAAGCATTCTCTGGTGCACCAAAGGAAATTTTCATGTTGCAAACAGTATAAACATTACTGGTCATGTTATTTGCCTTGTAATATATACCTTGTTTGTACCTCATTATATTGTAACATATCCTGGAAGAAAATGTATTAATATATCCCATGATATGTAGTTCACTGTGATAACACACTTTTGTTTCTTCGTAATTTTTGTATTTTAACTGAATTCAGAAAGATACAGTTAGTGGAAATATTGGTAGGCCAATTGAAAATATGTTTGTTCACAAGTTAGTCTATTTGAAAGGTGCATTTATAAGGGGGCTGAATTGATATTTTAACATTTATCATCCATCTGTCACATTGTTAGGCATGTTCCATCTGGAATTGCATCATCCTAGTATATGGTTAAGTAGGCCTTTATTTAGAGCCATTTTATAGCAATTATGATGCTGCAAATGTGTTTACTACTGTTTACAGTAGTCCAATATTCTTTGTACCTGTGATTTATTTATCATTTTCAACCTTGTGAAGGTTATTTTTACAGAAAAATTGTAAAATTACAGTCATGTGGTCATGACATTGTCACATAGTCAAGGTCTTGTCAGTTCCTTATGAATGTAAGCCAGAAGGAATATTAAAAATGCTGAAATAGTATTTCATTCATGTTCCTTTAGTTTGCTGATGGTCAGTGAATGAGACTGGGAAAGGGAAGGGGTGTGGTTATGTAACATAGTACTGTTAGAAATTTTGAATGCAGAAACTGATTTCCATCATGTCTGTTGTTTCTTGCATCTAGTAAATATAATTTTCTGGTGATGAGATGATGAGTTTATTTGGTAGGTGGTAAATGCAGAATCTGATGACCATATTCTAGTTATGCTACTGGAAACTATTAAGAAGCTGCATTTCTTTCAACAAAATGTAATTTTCTTTTTGTTATATAAATGGCTTGAATGTTGAGGAAAATAATGAAAATTGACTAGTAGCTAATTTTAGAGACTGACTGTAATGAAATATTGTACACAATGGTGAAGGTGAGCTTGACAACACGTTATGGCAGTATCCTATCCTACTCCCTCATTTTGTGAGAGACTGTGCTGTCATTATACATTACCTGACAACCAGTGAGGGGATAATAGCAGGTACTTCCTGTACCTTACGCTGAAACTGATCACATAACAGGGTGATATAATATTTAATTTTAATGGGCAAGGGATTCAAAAATAAGTCATTGCACAGTTCTTTACCATATGGCATACAGATAGCATTTACAGGTGAGTAGTTGAAAAACAGTAGTATTCAGTGCATTGCCATATGGCACATACCTCACAAATGTAGTAAGGCTGTTTTTGATGGAGACAAAATACAGCCTCAAATAAATCACACCAAGATAATTAATCGAGCATGGGCTGAACTTGTAAAAAATTTGTATTTATGCAAGAAATATGAATATAATCTCAAATTTTTGGGGCCATTGTTGATAAAATACAAATGGGCCATAAGTATTTTAAATGTTTTGTAAATTTATTAAGAAATGTGCTTTTATTTAGTATTTTTTTCCTCACCCCAAACGCCTACATGGCATAAAGTGGGATAAACTTTACTTTACTTTACATTTATAATGTGGAGTCACTAGAATGTTTATACTGAACCCAGCACTTTATCATTGTCAGATATGATTCTAATAATTGTATGTTGTGGCACAACTGATTCGGATAGACCCTGAACTAATCTCCGTTATTGTAATGATGACTTTCATAAATGGATCGAATTGAAAACAGCTACTCTTAACAATGGTAGAGTAGGCCATGCTTGGCACTGGTCACACTCTCCTACAGTGCCGAAAAATGTTACCTCCATGTCCCTATACAATGAGCCTACTCAATCTGCAGAGGGAATATTTAAGATTGTAGGGATTTTGTTGGGCTTTTGCACGTATTATGGTGGCAATGGCAATCGCGGTTTAAGTTTTGTGTTTTGATTGTAGGTATAATTATATCTAAAACAAAGGAACTTACGTATTAAAATACTTCCGATGAAATTAATATATGAATGCAAATCCGAATTGAACTTTAAGAGAACGGTTTTTTTATTTCCTTTTCGTTCATAACCTTATTTGCTAAATAACTAGGAAGACGAAGCTAGGTGATCACCCCTATCGTAATTAATGACGAACTCTTAGAAAGGGATATAGAATTTTAATACTTCCAGTGAAAGTGTTTGATGTGAACTGTGTTGATCGTATGTGCATTCCGTCTCATGGGATACTGTGTTAAGGATACTTAACCATGTCTGGTAATTTAATTTCAAATGACACTTTTTCACTTTAGTTTGACAGACTTTGTGGTTTGGATGTTTAAAATGTTTGGATCAACGTTGTTTAGAGTTATGTATACAAAGTATACCATTTTATTAAGGAGAGCTAATTTACAAACAAAAAAGGGAAATGTTGGTGAAGTGATCAAGAAGCTAAATAAAGAGAACAAATCATTGTTTGGTGAACTGTTAGAAACAAGGCCACAGAAACGTAGAAGAGAAGCAAGAGAGGGACCTCAAATTTCCTCATCTTCAGAGCAGCAGTTAGACTGTGTTCAAAATCAAACTTCATCAGAAGCATGGTGGTACAGGCAGACACCTCCAGCAAGCCATGTAGTACAAATGAAAAGAAATTCAAACACAGATTCTGAAGTTAAAAGTAATGAAAGTGACACACCTAGGGACCAATCACTGAAGACATCACAAAAACGGCATAATGTTAATTTCTTTGTAAAATCTGAAAGTCAGGCAAGCAATTATCATCATACATCATTATTAAGCCTCGAAAATAATGAAAATGGAGCTTCTTCAAACAGTGCTGGAAACTTATGTACCGGCCATGTGACAAATGTAGAAGAAACAGATAAAAAATCTACTGTATTAGAACTTCCTGAGATCATTGTTAGAAACATACCAACCTTCCCCCTTATAAATGAATGTAAAAATACAGAATTGATGATACCAACTGAAAGCATTTTGAATACATCTTCAAATACAGAACAAGTTCATAACAAGGACTATCTTCTGTATCCGTCAGTTACAAAGATTTTAAATGCTACAATGTCTGACAGTTCTCGAGCAGCACTAAAGAAGTGGCGTCAGAAAATGATTGATTTGCTTGGTGAAGAAGGATTTGTAAACTACCACAGGGGTATGTTGGAATTATGGAACAGACTGTATCTGTCTAGAAATGTAATAAAATAGTTAAAGGCACATATGGTTTATTTTGAGATGCTAACTCCAACATTATGATTGTTTTTTATTAAATAGGACTGCATTCAACTACACCATGAACAGGTTTTATGATTTATATTGTTATATTCTGTTACTCTTATGAACCAGGTTTGTTGGCAGAATTGAGTAATTAACCTTCATTTTGTTGAGGGGAGGGGACATTTTTGTCTCCAGTTCAACTGCATTTGATAAAATTTGACCTTAAATATTTAACTTAATTTGTAATAATAGTGTAGAAAATCTCAAAAATGCCTTGTGTTGCACAGGTCTGCTGGACAGAGGAAGCCAGTTTCATGCTGTTATTCATGACTATCTGTCTGGTATACCAGAGGTTGATCTAAAGCTGGACCATGTTGAAGGGTGCTGGCAGAGTCTGGAAAATGTTATGACAGATATAACAGATGTAAGAGTTTTGGAGAGTCATGTTGTTCACTCAAGTCTTCTCTACAGGGGTGTCATTGATTGTGTGGCAAAGTATAAGTAAGTATTAGGAAATTCCCTGTTTTTCAACATTGGTATCAACAGCTATAATTATGTTTTCTAAAATTAACATTGTCCAGGACAGTATTACTACTTGAAATGCATATCTCGTTTGTCCAACCACTTACTACCTCTGGTATATAGATGGATCTAGTGCCAATATATTTAATGTTTTTGTAACTAATTTATTTATTTCCTCTTTATTTATTTCATGGTACTGTCAACTGCAGAAGTTGTTTCATTTGATGAGAAATGGTATGGAATATTTAATTTTTCTGTTGGCTTTTTAACAGCACATTCTGAACTGCGTAGATTGAGTCTCAAGAAATAGAACTTAAATCACCACACTTTTTCAATCTTCGCCATTGGTATAAAATGTTGTGTGCATACTCATGAGTTATTATTGACTTTCAGAAGATTGTTGTTTTAATTTCAAGTTTCGTAACCTTGTGGGTTTCTGAAACTGTGAAAATGTAAAATTGTAAATACACTTCTTTTATAATCAGAAGGAAATTATCACTTCTATACTTTTGTGAGAAAGTGGTTCCTGTTTGATTCCTTTTCTATATTTTTATTTTACAGCTTTCTATTAATTTACAAAACATACGCTCATCCATTTATCAAGAATTTTATTCTTTATCCTGTCATATTCAAAAGTGAAAATTCTGCTATGTTATTACTGTGTGAATATGTTTGGAAAATGTTAGGAAATGATTTTTCTTGGTGGCAGTCTTTCACAACCAACCAGATAGAGTACACTGTTAATATTACAAACATCTAAGATGGCTTCAGAACCATATGACCAGTTCTGAATCTTGTTACTTCTCAGATATATAAGAAGAGCCTGATAATGTTTCATCTTTAGTGTTTGTTTTGTGAATGACATGATATTACCATGAAATAAGTAAGAGAATGTTACAAACTTTGCCTTTGAAATCCCTTTCCTGATGTAATGTATCCAGGAATATATTAAGTAAATTCTGTTAGTGCATTAGATTTTGCATGGTGGATGTCAAGAGCAGTGTTCTAATGCAGAATATAATCATTTTTATTATATATATTTTTACTTTACTTTGTGTTATTATGAAAAACTTTGGTGGAATGCTGGTTGCTATACCCAATTTAATTTTATCATATGTTTAGTTCATCTGATGGGTGCATTTCTTACTTTGACATTTTCAATATGCAGCTTTTGACCCTTTATTATGGATAGTGAACAGCACTCATGAATTATGTACAGGTAGATTTTGTGCACTTATTTTCAGTCTGTTGTCTAATTTTTTAACAGAGGAAAGCCAGTTCTAATTGAATGGAAGAAATCTGATAAACAGAAAGCTGAGATTGAGAAAACTTATGATGCCCCACTTCAGCTAAGTGCCTATCTTGGAGCTATGAACTATGATGTTAAATACAACTTTCAGGTAACATTTATACAACATTGTTCTACTAGCTGAGACTACAGTTTTAATCATTGAACACAGTGTAAACATACGTTGAAGAAGCGTATTATCCTACTGTACCAGCTTATATTAAGAGTTATAACATGAAAATCTCAGGGATTTAGATGTGGTATTGTTTTTGATTTTTGTTCTCATTCATAAGATGTTTCTACTTTAGAAGGGTTGTCTGACAACCAGGCCACTCCATCTTTGTCTTTCCACAATTCCTCCCCAATTTATTTCTTTCCCAATCTGTTTATCCAACTTTGATATAGGTCATTCTTTTTGGACATTTTTCCTTCATTTGCATGTTTAAAACCTTTTAAATTCAGTGTTCATTCATTCTGTTGTTTGTTAATTTGCCTTGCAAGGTGTTTAATTTTGGATTCTCTCTAATGATTTTATTTGTTATTCTTTTCATTTTCCCTTCTATTCTTCTTAAAAATTGCATTTCTGCTGCCAATAATCTACCAATATATGCCTTTGTCCATGTCCATGTTTCAGTTTTGTATGTTATATGGCCATGTGGTTCTTTTAAATAGGCATATTTTCACTTGTTTAGGCATTTTATACTTTTAAAGTATGTCCCATACCACTTGGTAAAATGTTCTGCATTGTTTATTCATACTGTAATTTTTCCTTTTAATTTCTCAATTTAATCAGCCTGTCAGATAAATCAAAAGATGTAATTAATATGTTACGTAGGTCCTCAAAGAAAGTGCCATTGAAATTAATCGGATTAAACCAAAATGATAATGGCTTGTCAAAACTTAGGTAGGTGTGCCATACTGAGTTTAAAACAATTTGAAAATGTAGGTGTGCCATACTGAGTTTAAAACAATTTGAAAATGTAGGTGTGCCATACTGAGTTTAAAACAATTTGAAAATGTAGGTGTGCCATACTGAGTTTAAAACAATTTGAAAATTTCCGTCTTCTGGGTTGTTGCGCTGTGTAGTCTGGTCGATGTTTACCAACGTTTCAGAGGTCATACTGCTTCCGTCATCAGGGCGATGAGTATGAAGATTTCTGTCTTCTGGGAACAATTTGTTTTAAAGTTTTGGCTCTGACAGATTGATGTGACAAACCAGTTGGTCCTCTCAGAACTTTCTTTGAAATTTGATTAAGTTCTGTTTTTGTTGATGGTTTTGCAGTGTTTAAGAATCAGAATGTTTACCGTTTCAAACATTAAATTATGTTCAATAATCAGTATGTTGAAAAATTATGATTTCCTCCGTATGACGTCTTACAGAGTTCTGAATTCTTAGTCACTAGCAGAATATGTTGCTAAGTAGTTATGCTGTAGTAAACTGTATGGCCAGTTAGTATTTAAACAATTGATCCTTCAGAAGCAATGGATTTTTTTTATTTTAAGAATAACATTCACTGTTTCAGGTTCTGAGAGGTCTAGTTGTGGTGGCATATAATGACGGCTCTCCAGCAAACACTTTCATTATGTCACTGACGGATTGCAAGAAGTACTGGAGTTTTTGGCTTCTCAGACTTCAGCAGTACTGGCTTCAGCAGCAGAAAGGACTTATGCAGTCAACTTGATTTAACTTGCAAGACTTTAAAAAGGTTTAAAGATACATGAAAAGGAAGATGACTTTTTATTAATCTGAAAGGAAAAATCTGAGGTAATATAAAATCACTAGCAGTTACTGGCGCAAGTTACGTGGTGTGTGCCAGTGCCTAACTTCACGGGGAGAGAGTCTGGTAATTTGTTTACTTTTCAGCCGGCAGAGTCCTTGAAAAAAAATTGTAGGGTCGTATACTTTGGCAGTAAAATGTTAAAATTTCCCACATAATTAATTTAATGAGTTGTCATGCATAACATTTTCCTCAGAAGTTCATATTCTCAAAAAAAAATGTAAAAATCTTATCTAGTATGTTTTAAGACATTTCTTCAAAATTAAAACACATTCCAAATTGAGTATACCTTACATACGTGATATGAATAAAGACACCTTTGTGTTGGCATTGAAGTTTTTTTTCTCTCATTGCCCATGAGGACTATTTTTAATGGCCTGTGCTCCTTCAGTCAGAACAGTTACTGAACAGGTTTCGTTTGAACAAGCCTTGTATATGTTTGTGGCTTGTTTGCTGAGCACATAAAACTAATCCTTTTGTATATTATTACTATAACGTTGTGGGGTGAAGAATACGAATGATTACATTCTAAGGCTGAAGAAATAAAGAAGTTATGAAGATCCTTATCATGCAATTCTTTCTGTTCCTTTGTCACTTGACATCTTGTCAGTAAAAATACTCATTATCTTAACCTTTATCTTACTAGCGTTCCTTGTCTGGGACGTAAGTTGTGTACTCAGCCCTACGAACGTTCCTTGTGCGGAACTCGAAACTTGCAACTTTGTAAGTACGTCTTTTGGCCTCTTTTAGGGGCTCTCTAGGGTTCTGACAAGTTCAACCTGAGCTGTCGACGCAGGAACTATAACCATAAACAGCAATAAACATTGTTGCTGTCAAGTATGCATGGGGAAATTTTATACAGTGTACCCTACGTCACTTTTAGCATCAGATGAATAATTTTTAATTGTTATTACAGTTGTTTGTTTATGTCAGTTGCTTACACGATTCCTCAACTTCTACCTTGAGGAATTTAAATTTGTATGTCTTCAGCTAAGCTGGTTCAGTAGTCGTTTGTAATTATTTTGAGCTGGTGAATCTCCTCCTATCTTTTACAGAGCTGAGAGGGTCCTTACCATATTCACAAGAGCCAGCCACTGGCCCCCACTTTGAGCCAGATAAATTTTCCACACTCTCCCACCCTGTTTTTTTAAGATCCATTTTTATATTATCCTCCCATGAAACTGGAGGTCTTCCAAATGGCCTCTTATTTTCAGTTTGTACACATTTTTCGTCTTCACTCACGTGTGCTACATGCCCATCCCATCTCATCCTCCTGTGAATTATCATAGCAGAAAGTTAAAACAAAAATCCGAAACAGGAACAATGAAATAAAAATGTTTATAAATTTATTTCTGCAAGCAGTAGTAGCATTAATTTATATCACTAATAAATGTGGCATGTTCTGGTTTCCAGAAAGGTTACACACGTTGACCATACATCAGTAAGATAGCATTTGCATGAAAGGATAAAGGAAATCAATGTTTTGTGTTGTGTTATAAATTTTCAGTGTGGAGCGTGATATTACAGCATAGTAATAAAATGAACGTATTGCAATGCATGTTCGTACGATAGAAGTGCCGATTATTTTAAACTGGCATTAGTGATCATTAGGGTTCGGATGTTCATAACCTAAAAAACCGTGAAATATGCCCAAAAATAGCGAAATATGACCCCAAAAAAGGCAAAATATGACGTAATTTGTTATGAAAAAATATTCGCTAAATTTTAAAAAAAGCGTTTTGTATTTCATTCATGTTATTTATTTACATATGCATGTACAAATATTACATTACTTTTTTTTTTGAGTTTATAGTTTAGATGCGTCATGTTTGTGTTAAAATTCAGTATATATTTATTTATTATTTCAGTCTATACACAAACTTAGTTTTTAAAATGTTGTCATGGATAGTCATCATCTGATCACAGACGCAGACACACCACACATCACAACTCTTGAATAATGAACAACTGACCAAAATATGCAAAATACTACGAAGATCAAAAGGAATACCTACAAAAAGAAATCTACAAAACAAATAAATTAATAAAAGGTTGCATTAATAAATATATATTAGTTTTAAAGATGAAAATAACAATAAAAAACCTGAGGATGATGCAATAGCATCGAAACATGTCGTAAAATAATAAGCGCTGAAATGTAACATCGAAATAACGATGAAAAGCGCTAAATTTTAATTTTAACAACAACATTTTAAAAACTAAGTTTGTGTATAGACTGAAATAATAAATAAATATATTACATTACATGATTTCCTAGCAATTTTAATCAAAAAACTCTGCCGCTTTAAGTTGTAAATGCCTCGTTTTGGATCAGCATCAGATGTTGAGAATACGTGCTCCTATAAAAATTAGATGAATTTTAAGAAAGAGCCTTTCATGCATTTCAAATTCATAAATAAACAAAATTAAAAATATTACGTAAATTTCTTCATTCTCCTTTCTTGGCAGCATTACAATATATAACGATGTGCATTTTCAAGGTCTCAACTGAAAATCTTCTGAGATTGTCGCACAGAATGGCCTTGTAACTTGAGACATCACAAACGTTTCGTGGCGTTATCGAAAATTACAGCGCCAGAGGAGCGGTTTACTGTATCAAGAAGGAATAAGTCACCAGGGCGGTCAGCAAAGATCGTGCCAATAACGACATAACAGGCAGGCACATAGTTTTTTCGTAGTGTCGATTCGTCTGGAATTAACTGGGTCACGTATTTCTCCAATAAAAATTCGAACTGCTCATTGTTCAGTTGGCAGACGCCATCATTTCACACAGGTCCTTTGAACATTCCGATGACCTGTTTGATGGTGAAGTTGTTGCAGTGTTATCGCTTTGATGACTGGTTTGTCTACTCAATTCATTTTTATGTTTTGTTGTTGCACATTAAATCCCTTACCAGCTGTAACTTTAACTTTACAGAGTTAACAGAACAGAATTGTTCCATCATAACTAAAATATTCCTCACCGAAATCTTTTAACGAAACCTCTTTCAGAACACTTCACTTTTGGCATCTTAACTAACTGAAAGATTCACTGTAAATGCCTGAGAAATGTATAGTTACAAGTAAGAATTTTATACCCAAAATATAACCAAAATACGCATTTAACCACAAATATGACCAAAAACATAAGAATGACCTAAATATTCATTTATATGCAAAATAAAATCAGCATAATTGTGATTAGAATAACCCAGTTAGTGTTTAATTTCAGTTTAGAATCAAAATAGAATCCCCAATAAAAATATGACATGTCATGAACATCCGAACCCTAGTTATCATGTTTCTAGCATTTTGCATTGACTGGCTTTTTTTAGTTCTTGGTATTTACCATTTATGCCTTACCTTGCATAATACTGAAGCTTTGAAAAAAAAATCAATTCACGGAACTGAAAGGAACCATAATTAGGCCCAGCGAGGCTGGCTGGAATCCTGCAGGCAAAGCAGTTGCCTCACCCACTGACTGGAGTAATTATTGGTTTCCATTAACCATGCCGTGATTCGGCCTTCAGTTTAATTGACCATTACATTCTGAACTTCAAACTATGCATGCGTGATGTGAATGAAGTTTCCTTTACCGTCAGAGTCGAAGGAAATTTTAAATAAGTTATTGAATAAAGCAAACCTCAGACTAAATTTCTGCACGGGATGGGGTCTGGTTCAAATGGTATCAATCAAACGTAAAGTAGAACATTGGGCCATTCTTTTTTTCGCAAAGAAGTTATTCTTAGTTGCGGTCATCTTACGCTCGTGACACAGTCGGGCTCTGGAAACAAATCCTACCGACTTGATTTTCGTGGCGGCCCGCGTCCCAGAAATATCTCGAGATTACATCTTACAAACTCGGAATCCGATATCATTGTACCTTTCCTCAAGCGCTACAATAATCTCAGATGTTCTTAGAGCGACGTTAAATAATCAATTCAAGGACTGCTGGCATTTATGAATTAAAATAGAACAAAATATGTGTTGATGATAGAATAGCCAGTACAGACTGCAATTTGATCGGGCTTTATTGTGAGTGGAATAAAGGAAGTCGTGCTCAGGTGGGGTACGGGTAGGATATTTGAAGATACATTTCGGGTTCGGGACAAATGCTCCTCGAGCCGGTCCACGCGAAATTCTAATGTCTAATCCCCGGTAGACGCATTACACCGACCCTCCTGCGCTTTCGGAATGGCGTGTGCATCAAATTTTGCCAAAGACTCGCCAAAACGGCTACGGTAACCTATGAAATGCTAAAGCAAGCATTTGGGGAGTCCGCAATGGGTCGTGCACAAACTTTTGTGTGGCATTAACGTTTTAAAAATGGCCGAATCTCTGTCGATGATGACGAGCGTTCTGGACGACCATCTTCGAGCACAACGCCCGAAACTGTTACGAAGATCGACGTCGTACCATCAACGACTTGTGCGACATTTTTGGGATAGGCTATGGGACCTGTCAGCTGATTCTAAAGGAAGAACTCCACATGCGACGCATCCTGTCAGAGGACTAGAAGCAGAATCGACTTCTCGTTTGTCAGGAGCTTAAAGATCTTGCAAGAACCGACCCCAGCTTCCTTTCTAAGCTCCGTGTGACTTCTTCCTCTTCCCAAAGATGAAAATTCAGCTAAAGGGAAGGAGATTTGAGACGATAGAAGAGATTCAGGCAGAATCGCAGATGGTGCTTGACAGGCTGACAAAGAAAGATTTCCAGGGATGCTTCCAGGCTTGGCAGCGGCGCTGGGATCGTTGTGTTCACTCCCAGGGGGACTACTTCGAGGGTGATGGATGAATTTAATACCTGAGATAAGTGTACGGGTTTTTATAGGCGCAGTCTAGAAACTTTCCGATCGCACCTCGTATAGTCAAGGCTTCAGCGTGGGAGAGGCGAGTAGTCGTAAAACACATTTTAGTCAGCAGATATGACGATAAGAGTCACAGTGGCACCTATATCGGTCGATTCGGCCGACGCCCGACGTCGGCCGAACTCGCGCGATCTTTTCAAACCTGGTGGAAGGCACGTGCGTGGTCTCAGTGCAACCGATCTCATCTGCCGATTATAGCAGACGTCGGACGGTGATCGGGCGAATTCAAATCAGTTTGTTTTTTTCGGCCGATGTATGATTCATGTGAGAGATATAAAGATGGACTGTGAAAAATTGAAAAGTTTTTGTGCAGGAAAGAAGAAGTTTGTGGGATCCGCGATGTGGTCAGTATCATAATAGCGTTGTAGCTCGGAAGGTGTGGATTGAGATCGCCACTTCTTCATTCTCATATACTCGTAAAATTTGTCCGCTTGTTCAAGCAATTGAGGTCGAGGAAAGAGTTTATGATACTCGCCGCGTTCTTCTCGAGATACATAAATATCATTCACATGGAATATCTTTCTTTTTAATAACAAATATCATAACACAGAACTCGTCTCAAAACACAGAAGTGTTGGAACGTCCATTCTGCCGACAAATGACAAACTAGTCGGAGGCACTATGACCAAGCTGTCGGCCGATGATAATCGGCCGACGTCTGACGACCGATATCAGTGCCACTGTGACCACAGCCTTAGACGTGAATGGGAGGATAATATCAAAATGGGTCTTAAGGAAAGTGACTGTAAGGTTGTGAACTGGATTTAAATGGCTCGGGACAGGGTCCACTTGCGTCTTCTTGTGAACACGGTTATGAACTTTCGGATTCCACAAAACTCATGTAATTTCTTGACTAGCTGAGCTACATCTAGCTTTTCTAAAATGACTCTGCTCCTTGGAGTTAGTTTCGGTTCTTACAAATACATTGTCACTGGTATTTCGTGGTCCCTTGTAAGGACTGGTATTAGTATTCACTTAAGAGTATTTTATTTCAGCCAAATTCGGTGTCATAGAAAGTAGCATCTGATATAGAGGAGACTATTTTAATGAAACACCGTTTACAGTTGCTGATTGAACAGTTGACATTTCTATTACATAACGTGAACGACCAAAGCTCCTGGTCTAGTTGGTAGCACTGCTTCATATTCAAGATGTCCGGGATTTAAATCTCTGTTCAGAGACCGGGTTTCTTGACTGAGATTTTTCGTAGTTTTCTTCAGTCCATTCACGCAACTGCTTGGGTAGTGCCTTAAATTAGCCCACGACTGTTTCCTTCTATACAGGGCTAGTCTAAATGATGTTCCCGACTTGAAACACATGTTACTCACGTTTAATGAAATTCAGATGAACAAAATTGGTACCGATGGAAAGAGAAACTCTCCAAGTTTATGTTGGTATACTTCGCACACCTTCACAACGAAGTCAGAAGTGAGCTCAATGACCGACTACCAAACAGATGGATTGGCCGTGCTGGTCCTGATGATGATGATGATGAACTTCTGCGTTGGCCTCCACGTTCACCGGACCTGACGCCCTGTGATTTTTTTTCTGTGGGGATTCGTCAAAGATAAGAGTCTTCGTGTCACCCTTACCACAGACCTTGCTTGATCTGCGAGCGCGTATCACAGCAGCCATTGCAGCAGTCGATCATGATATGCTGCAACGTGTCTGGGAGGAACTCGACTACAGGCTGGATGTGTGCCGAGTTACCAGGTGGGCTCACATTGAACATCAGTGATGTACTGAAACAAAACTTGGAGAGTTTCTCTTTTCATCGGTACCAATTTTGTGCATATGAATTTCATTTAACGTGAGTAACATGTCTTTCAAATCGGGAACATCATTTAGACTAGGCCTGTATATATTTTCCATTTTATCCTTCATTAATCACTCATCATTGCACGCTGTGTGACCTGAGATACTGTAAGCGCCGTTAAATAACCAAACACTGGGCAAGTCTAGAAGTTTCAGGTCTAACGAGATCACAGGATTCGATCACGCATTGCCCGGCGTTTGCAGACACATAAGAGTAGTTGTAAGGTGACTGGAAATTATGAATCATAAGGATTTTTTAAATATAAGTTCTTAGTAGTCTGGTTCCGTGTCCGAAGGTCAACAATAACCACACAGTAACGTCTGGCGATGAGAACTTTGGACGACGGTCCTTATCTTTTCAGATAACACGTCTCTCATATTTAAACAGCTTATTTTTCTGTGAAATTTCAGGTCCTCGCAACTGCGAGTACGAAGATGGGTTATAGCGCTGAGTGTGGAAGTTATCGTTTCAGAGGTGTCTGCCGTCTTTATCATCAGGGCGAAGATAATGGATCATCACCCTGATGGAGGCAGCAAGCACCTCCGAAACGTCGGTCGATTTGTACCAGACACTGCGAAACCCAGAAGACCACAGTCGTGGTTCTACAGTTCATACCAATATCTTGCGTGCTCGATCTTATTTTCTTGCTTAATATTATCTAGCTCGCCGGCCGCAGTGGCCACGCGATCTGAGGCCGCTGGGACCGTGGGTTCGAGTCCCACTCAAGGCACGGATGTTTGTCCGCGACCTTTCTATTCCAGTCTGATGGATAAAGACTGACCACGGAAGGCTAGTAACAGCCCCGTAATGGGGCTGCAAACCAATCCTAGGATTGATGACCTAAAAAAAATTATATCTAGCTCATCTGTGAGGGGAATTACAAGTCTGTCGGTTAGGCAAAAAATTGTTTGAGTTTTCAACCCAGAATCGAGTTGTTAGCAGTCTGTTTATAAAATTATTGTACGACCTTTGATTCTAAGGATGCGTAATGTGGGGCATGAATAAGAGCAAATAGTCACAATTTTCTGTATTTTCTAAAGTTGCCCTTCTGAAAAACCACATCTCTTTACTTCACACCACGGGCAGAGCATTCATAATAACCGTGACTGTAGTTAATAATAGTTGATTAAGTTAGCCTAGTTTCATGAGAGTTCACACTTCCTTCTGTATTGTTAAACTGGGAATATCATTGACGGCGTTTTCTTTTGTTTAAAAAAAATGGTGACACTACTTCAGGTTATATTCGAAAATGTTATCGTATTTTCACAATTTTTTTGACGTAAATACGTCTATATTGAAGGGTCATTCGGCAAAAAAGGGAAACGAAAAAGTGTAACCTGGTTACCAAGGAAACGTCATCTGCTTACTCGGCATTGTTGTTACCTATAAAACATTACATTACATTACATTCAGCTACCACAGACCCATCTTAAGCGTAACTAATTCAAGTTAAATAAGCAATGTCTTAATCAAACTTTACGCAATTGTAAAGCATGTATAAAGGAAATATTTAGAATAAAGCCAATATATAAACTTCCTTTCCGTATAGACGTATTTACGTCAAATTCTCCGGAACCGTGGTTCCACTGACAACTTTTTAGTTTCTTAAAAAAGTGCCGGTAATGCGTACTGGCCCGGGTGAAATTCTAAAGTTTCACCCCCTGCCCTGAGACCGGCTTTCTTGACTGAGGTTTTTCGTGGTTTTCTTCAGGCGACTGCAGGGTCAGTTCCTTAAATTAGCCCACGCCTGTTTGCTTCTACATATTTTCTAGTTCATCCTTCATTAATTACTCTATAATTGGACTTATTTAGTGTGAGATACTGTAGCATCGTTAAATTCCCCAAAAAAAAAATGAACACAAGACGTCTCGTGTGCGAAGTGGGATTTAGGTCGAGGGGAATCATAGGATTCACGCATGCAGTACCAGGCGTTGTACGTGTTGATGGGGCCTGCGTTAGGTCACTATGGAATCGGCAACTGCAGGGAGAGGAAGCTGTCGCAGTTATATTGACACGCGTTGTCCAATCGAAGTCACTGTGCGGCAGGAGACGAAAGCTGGTGATTAAGTAATGCAGCAAGTGGGCGAGCACAACATGTCGGACCATTATCAGGTTGACAAAAGAGAAATAGAGTTCTGTGCAGATCGTCTCAACATCGAATTTAACAACTTGTGTTATTATCCATCAGGCAAGAAAGGTGAGCTTTGTAGTATCATATTAAGTATACACTGACCTTCAAAAGCAGTCGTGAACTATAGCGTCCTTTGTACTCTAATGACGAGAGAAACATGCCTGTGTACACGACTGCAAATATTAATTATATTGTAACTTACGCGACTGCATATTTCGGCCGTGTATCGGCCATATTCTGGTGGCACGCAAACATAGAAATAAAACAGAACAAGCTAAAACATTAAAATATTACAGCATAAAAAAAATTAAGAACTACACTCGAGTGGATCCATTTGTATGGCTTACGATTTGAAGTTTTTGCGGGGGTGAATATGATGGCACTGCAACTCGGAGGACGGCCATCTCCAGTTAAATGGAGTTCACAAGTTACGTGATCTATATGTAAACTAGAATCTGTGCTGAAACATACTTTAAATATTGAAATAGTCAAATTCGTGTTGTTAGACGCCCGGCTTGACTAGTTTCGGTTCACGGACTCAGCGAAAGTTTTACACCAGTGGCTCCCAACGGGGTGTCCACGTTGATACGAAAAGAGGTTATGCCGAATAATGAAGGCCGTTCAACCATGAACTTTATAAAATCAAAGCACAGATCTCGACTTACTGACGCCCATCTTGACGATAGTTTGCGAGCAGCAACATCATCATACAGTCCCAAATTTGAAAAACTGGCCGATGAAATTCAGTGTCAAACATCACACTAACTTCCCACTTGAGTAATAATAATTGTACTTATAAAACTACGTATTTTTTATCGTGTGGTTTCTTGTATCATTAAACGTCGTGTTGTTTTGTGTATTATTCGGTGTCGATATCTTATTTGTCCAGAGAAAAGAAAGTTTGGCTTTGTTAATTGGTTGGTGCTCGCCACGATCTCAAAAACTTTCAAATGTGCCCGTAGGCACAAGAAGGTTGGGGACCACTGTTTTACGCAATATGAGGGTTAGTTCTTCATTATGTAATAAGTTACGTTAATGTGACGTTACGTAGTCTGTAGGTTCAAAATTATGTAGGTCGGGCCCTCATTATACAATGTTTAGTGTCTATATGTAGTAAACCTTCCGGGATAGTGCCCTAAATTAGGCTACGATCGCTTCCTTCCCCATCCTTTCCAATTCCTTATTCACTGTCATCCTCTCATTCAGAGTCGTTAAATAAACTATAAACAAATGAATGTAGTAAAGAACTTAGGAAGTTGCTGACAGATGAGCTATGAAGGGGCATGGCTCTTTGTGTATAAAATGTTCCAGTCGGATGTTTCGTTGATTAGGAACTGTTGTCACTATGTGACGTATGAGGACGGTATAAACAGTTTTGGTTGGAAATGTGCAATTTGTGATGACAGAGATAAACCCTTGCATTTCGTAAGAAAAAACAGTTTCTTGAATCGTTGAATACCTGTCGGTTAGGTTAGGAAGCTTAAGGATAAAACTTCCGTTCTCTAAAGTGGAGTGAAATTTGTGTAAAGACATTTACTTATATAATTTTTTACTCTCTGTAGAGAAAATGCATTATTAAATGTTTCGTTTAAGTCAAGTAAATTTCTCGCTAATGACGGTGATGTTCTGGGATTTGTTATCCCTTAAAATTGAGACACTGTATTTCTTCGAAACGGTGGCATCCAATGATGAATCTGCATCATCATCCTCGCCTGTGAAAACATTTTATCACATTATCCGTAGTGCTTATTTAAGCACTGCATCATTCGTTGTTAACCTCAGCACTAGAAGGATGTGACACGCATACATGAACCATCTTCATATCAGCACGTCGATAAGAAACATGAGTATCGTATTTCTGTCTGAATTAAGTTCCAATGACAAAGGAATCTTTTGATTTTCGCTGAATAACCTACTGCCTTACTTTAAGAATCAAATCAGCCGCTTTGTTCCACTGTTTTAAGCCCTCTCCATGTTTGGCCTTTCTGGTCTGAGTTTGGTGTTTGACGAGAACAATGAAAGAACCCTCTCGAATTGCTTCTCAATAGTTTAAGATTTTTTGTTAGTCAACACTAATATCACGCAAGTTCATTTTCTAAAAACTCAGCATGGAAGGAGTTAAACAAAAATAAACCTATTTTAAGTTACAGAAAACGTTTCGTATGTGAAACAAGTATAACCGCCGAAACAAGTTTAGCAAATTCCAAGGATAGCCCGATTAGAAACTCGTCGAAGACCCGTTTTCCTTACTTTAGACAAATTACAAAGTGGTCTTTTAAAGAAACTCACGATCTTTTCCTCCTCTGTACCAATTCCTTACGCTGTTTTAAGAATACAGTTCGCAAAGCTCTGTTATAAATAGCATCGCCTGCTGCGAACAACGACTGTAATTCTTCCGGGCCAACTGTATTCCAGCTATATAAACCTTGCCGGAATGAGGTCAAAACTAATTCTCTTCTCCCCCACCCTTTTGTAATCACCTGGTTACAATCCGTCCTACAAACACATGGTATCATGGTACTTTCTCTGGTAATGAAATAGCTTCTGTCTGCTGCGCTCGAAAAATATACAAAAAACTGTTTTAAATGAGATGATAATCCAAATATATATTTATTATTCAAGTCTATACACAAACTTTTAAATTGTTGATGTTAAAATTTAAAATTAATATTAATATTCTGCGCCATTCATCGTTATCTCGATGTTACAATATTGCGCTTTATACTACTACATGTTTCGATGTCATAGCATCATCTTCAGGTTTTTT